AATTTAAATTGTTATGGTTTAATGCCTATGATTTAAAATTCACATGCAATAAATTTTTGTGTGTTTTAACTTTAGCCTTTGGGGATGTTTTTAAAATGTACCAATTTGAAAATTTATATTTTAAGAAATTTCACATGAGACTTATTGTTTGAATTTTGTTGAATTGCGTAATTGCTAAATTGAAAGGTTTTGTCAAAAAGACTTAAACTGTCTAAGAAGAGCTTAGGATTTAAGCGATCCGTTTGTGACCCCCTCCTCATCTGAAAGCCTTTTGATTGCGCATTATTCAAATTGACAAGGCGAAAAACAATAATTAAAAGAAAAGTGACATTTCTGTGATAAACTTTGCTCTTTTTGAAGGGTTAAATGTAAATAGTTATTTTTGTATTTAAATAAGAGTTTAAAAGTGATTTTAAATAATCGTACTTGTTAAGGATTTTTTTTCTTCCTTGACAATTTTTCTATTCTAAGAAGTTCATAAATAATTATAGTCAAAGTATTCTAAATAAAATTGGAGCATAAAGAGTAAAGTAAAATTTTATAAGAATACTTGGCACGTGGCACTCACTATTCGACTACTCTCCAATTGATCCCAGGTATGAAATATAATGACATATTTTTAGCATTGCTTCTTGTTATGAAATAAGCATGTTCACCATGCATAATTTATTTATCATTTTTTTCATATTTTACTATAATATCGTTTATGCACTTAGAATAAAATAATATTGATAATGCAAGATTAAGCATAATTAAAATTATAATTGTCACATGATTAGGATGACTAGGAATAGCCCAACATACCTCTAGTGTACTGAAATGGCCATTGAGAACTACATAAATTATAAAGTAAGATGGGAGCGAACTGTTGTTGAATATGTTGAAGATTTCCTTTCTAAATGGGAGCGAGCAAGATCATTCGGTATAATGAGGGGACAATCCTCTCAAATACCACCTTATAAGCACTATGCGACCTCACTGGAGAGACGTGGCTTACTTCGCGAGGGATATGGATTATGGGTTATGTTTGGAAGAAGATTGGAATAAGATTGATTTTAAAGGATACTATGAAGATATCATAATTTTATGAAATCACGGACAACAAGCACCAGCGTTTGAGCTTGAGACCGAGGCCGAGCCCAAACCCGAACCCAAACCAGAGGAGGACCCGAAGGAGGAGCCCAATGAAGAGCCTGAAGAGGACCCAGAGGAGGAGCCTGATGAGGAACCTGAGAAGGACCTAGAGGAGGAGATCCAATCGAAATCGGAAGACCTTGAGCAAGAAGTCCAACCACAAAATTTCATTGATTCGGTAATGGATTTTGAGCCCGAGTCATGCATTACTTCGGATGATGATACTCCATAAATAGAAGATTTTAGGGCTCATAGGGATTAGAAATAAGTGTTATTTGTTTGCTTAGGAAAATTTTTATTATTTATTTATTTATTTATTTGATTTTTTTTAAAGAGCAAATTATTATATGTAAAGATTTTAAAATTTATATTTTAAAGTTCTTCGTTATTACAAAGATTATTAATAATATTAGGTTGTTTTATCAAATATTCCTAAATTAAAATTTTATTTGTGTTAAGAAAATATCGAGACAACAACAACAAAACCAAACTACGATCATTAGGGATTTGCTAAGGGCGGTACAAGATTTGGATAGGCAATAAGCATGGACTGGTCCCCACAATGCAAACGCTAACAACATCAGCTCAATTGTGAAACAGTTCCATCGCTACAAATCCCCAACTTTTGATGGCAAGGCAGACCCACTAGCAGCTGAAGAATGGATAAGAGGAATGGAGCGAATCTTCAAACATCTATCTTGCACTGATGCTCAAAAGGTGTTATGTGCAGAATTCATATTGGTTGACATTGTAGGCTTGGAGTCAGTATCTCGTACTAGAACAGAAGCATAACAACGTGCTCTGATTTGGACACAATTTAAGGATAAAGTGATGGGAAAATACTTCCCACAAGCCTTGAGGGATCGAAAGGAGGTAGAGTTCCTTCAACTTAAGCAAGGAAAGATGAAGCTTGAAGAAGACGAGAGAAAATTTGAACAACTCTCTAGGTACGTACCACATCTAGTAGACACGGAGGAAAAGAAAGCAAGGAGATTCGAATTGGGATTGTGTCCGAAAATTGGTGGAATAATGGCATCCCACCAATTCATCACTTATAGCCAAGTATTGTAGACCGTCCAAGCAATCTCAAATAGGTTTGAAATTGACCAAACTCCCCAACAAGGGGCCGAGTCTTCAGGAAAGAGGAAATGGAATGGGTCTAACGAAGAGAAATGAGAAGGATAGAGCAAGAAGGTTAACTTCGAATCAAGTTCTGGACAAATTGTTCCACCCTATCCAAAGTGCAACAAAATGCATAGGGGTGAATCTTTGTTGGGGAAACATGTGTTCTATCGATGTGATAAAACAGGGCATATTTTCGAAAACAACAAAGAAGACCCTTCGAAGAAGAATGATGAGCCAGAAAAGAAAAGAAAGGCCCTAGTTTTCACTTTAGCTCATGGACAGGCTACGGAAGACCCGAACGCAGGCAATTTCGAGGATGAAATTCTTTTAAGGAGGAGAAATTGTAACCTCCCGAATATATATATAGTTATATTTTATTTGGGTCAAATAATTAAATTTTAATCGAGTGAGTATAAGTATATCAACATTATACTTGTTGGATAGCTCATAATTAATTATATATACTAGGCTAGAGAAAAAAGTCAATTCGAATAAGTCAACTCTAAGATATTTCAGTTAGAAGAGGTTGAAAAAAAAATTATTAATTTTCGAATTTAATTTAAAACTTGGAAGTCCTACCAAGTTTTTTTTTGTTTGGGAACAGTTATCTCTACTTTTCATAGGATAAGTAATCACTTGACATGAGTAGGGTAGATGATAGATAAGGTACCTTTATACGATTTATTGCTTTAGTCTTGAGAATTGATAAGAATTGTCAAGTAGCCTTATTTTAATATTATTTATTTACCTTAATTTTGGGAATAGATAGAGATGTTTTGACATGGGTAGAAATATTTGCACTTTTCAATTAGGATAAAAGGCCAACTGGAATGCACTAAAACTCGTAGTTACTTTACTGTTAACCAATTAAATTAGAATAGTAGAAAATCTCAAAATTTATAGTTGGAATAGTACAAAACAAACCATACATTTTGCTTATGGGACACGGCCATCCCAATCTTTTTGCTGTAAATGTGATAATTACCTTACCTATTGGCTAGAAATAATTAATTTAAAAAAATTCAAAACCCAATCATCTATCACTATCTCACGTTTTCTTATTTTGATAAATGATTAAGACTTATCTAAACATAGTTATGATGTAATTATATTCAAAGATTTTGGCTTATCACATATTATTGATAAACTACAGCCAGCATGCACGTATTTTTGTAATTTCACCTTCAGAGGGACTTTGCCCTATTTAAACCCTGCATAGTCAGGTTGAAAGTACACATTATTTCAAGCAGAAAGCAATTTTTTATCAGAAAGTTTCTTGCATCAAACAATCAATCATTAATCTTTCACGAGAGTAGGGGAAGGAATTTTGGAACGTGCTTTCAAATACTTTTTTATATATTTCAATAACGAGTTACGTATGTGCAAGTTGTTTTCGTTTCTATATGCTTTTATATGCAATTAAATATACATGGATTGCTAGTGGACCTTCGGGTTCTATATAAAGAGAGATGAAATCCTCCGGGATATAAGATGATCTAAGATGAGTGTGTCGCTTGGTCACCGATATACTCCATAAGAGTAGAGTGGTATGAAATGTCGATTTTATTGTTATATATCTGTATATGGAAATTGCACTATCTTACTGGGTGTTTTCGAATATTCACTCTTACAATTTTTTACAGGTTAGTTCGGGTTGATTGGAACGGCAGGGAAATGGTGATACAAACTGCCAAGTGGATCAAAGGAAAAGAAAAAGATATAAGTTTGCCGTCTTTAAATTTACCAATTAGTTTAATTTTGTCTAGAACGTGTTATTTGAATTAGTTAGGAGTTTATGTTATGTTTAGATACGATTTCCAAGATTTAAATTTAAATTTTTAAATGTTACAGTTATTTGTTTAATGAATAATTTTATTTTTATAGTTCCACACTTAAAATAAAGAAAAGTGAGCTTTTTTTTTTTTTTTTTTTTGTAACATTCCGACGTTTATAAAAAATGGGGGCGTTACATTTGTCACTTTCCATCACTTTCTACTTATCACATATTTTTCCTACAAACTTTATTTTTCAAACCATAAATAAGATTTAGACTAAGACTTAGACTTTTTCTTAATTTTATTAATTGGTAGTAAGACTTTTTATTAATTGTATTAATTGCTACCGAATTTATCCTCATAGAATTTTCTTATTCTTATTACAAAGACTTTTGATTCTTCTTACTACGTAGGAAACCTCACACGTGTATGGTATTACAATACAAGGCACAATTAATCAAACGATTTGTTTAATGGCTTGACAATGAAACAATTGCTTTGCTCAATACTTGGCCTCTATAAAAGGGCAAGAGCATTTCAACATACCCACAAACATATACTCTCTTTATTCTCATAGACTTTTCTTATTCTTATTACAAAGACTTTTGATTCTTCTTACTACGTAGAAAACCTCACACGTGTATGGTATTACAATACAAGGCACAATTAATCAAACGATTTGTTTAATGGCTTGACGATGAAACAATTGTTTTGCTCAATACTTGCCCTCTATAAAAGGGCAAGAGCATTCCAACATACCCACAAACATATACTCTCTTTATTCTCATAGACTTTTCTTATTCTTATTACAAAGACTTTTGATTCTTCTTACTACGTAGAAAACCTCACACGTGTATGGTATTACAATACAAGGCACAATTAATCAAACGATTTGTTTAATGGCTTGACAATGAAACAATTGTTTTGCTTAATACTTGCCCTCTATAAAAGGGCAAGAGCATTTCAACATACCCACAAACATATACTCTCTTTTTGCACAGATAAAAAATCATAGAGAAATGAGCTTTCAAATTCGAGTTATTTTGATGGTGGGCATATTGATATGCCTTACCTCTATTGAAATTGCTGAATCAGGAACTGCTACTTTCTACACCCCACCTTATGTTCGTAAGTATTTAGATATTCCCTCCACCCCATAAAGATGGGCTTGCTTTCGTTTTTTGTTTGTCCCAACTAATACCTCACTTTCCTTATTGGGAAATATGTCTTGTTATAAAAAACTATAAGATACTCATATTTAAACAATTATTTAATGTAGGGTATATTAGAAAACATAAGAAAAATTATATTTTCAGTTATATAATTATATTATCGTAATGAAAACAAGTCAATTTTTATGGGAAGGAAGGAGTATTATGTTTGAAAATGTTAATTATATACTATTATATATCAAATATTCAATTAAAGCTTAAAAGCTAATAAATTAGTTAATTAATACAACTATATGCAGCATCGGCATGCTATGGCTTCCAAGAAAAAGGCACCGTGATAGCTGCTGCCAACCCTTCATTGTACAATAATGGAGCAGTTTGTGGAAGAAGGTACAGGGTTAAGTGCATTGGAGGCACCAACAGCGTACCAAACCCCTGCAAAGGGCAGGAAGTAACTGTAACAATTGTAGATCGTTGCGCAGGATGTGGAAATAATCAGCTTGATCTCTCTCAGGAAGTCTTTTCCACCATTGCTAATCCTGATGCAGGAAGAATCTTGATCGAATATACTCAGTAAGCAATGCTAGATTATTGATCAATTCTTCCTTGCTAGTAGCACTCACATTTGATTTCTTGTTTTCATTGTGATTTTCAGGGTTTGAGACAATTCGATGTGGGAAATGAAGGAATTTGCGATCCCGAATAAGCTAGTTACTGTACTTTATGTACCCACAAAATAATAAAAATCCTATGTACTAGTTGAATAAGTGAATAATAGGCATTGGCTAGAAATGTATTTGAGAATTGTGTAATGCTAGCTGGAGGATCGATGCCACGTATGTAAGTGTGTGACTGTAATAATGTTCTGTTGTAATTTCTTTATGCAAATGAAACTTCAAGTTTCCGTCGTAGGAATTATTTATTTATTTATTTATTTTATTAACATCAAAGTTGGAGATTATTTCGCAATTCTGAAAATATACGTTTTATACGTATTATATCATGTTACCTATCCCATCATGTTACCTATCCCAATTTTCTTTTTGTAAAAAATTATCAGTAACTTTTTAGATAAAATATGACTAAGTCTCTCGAAATGTGTTAATAACAAATGAATAGTAATTATGAATGCATGTTTCAAATTAATGTTCAACCTTGAGTAAATAGGAAAAAAAATAATTAGTAATTTTTTAGAAAAAACAACAGAGGCAAATAACACGAATGACAATGATAACCCAGTTTGGGGATATATTCATTTTCTGCTCCATTTTTCATCCATATTGAAATGAATAATGTTATTCAACACTAATGATGCTACGCACCGATAGCACTTGGGTCATTTCTGTTAGTTTGTTAAAATTGTATCTTCTTTATTTTCATCAATTGAATGCAGTGCACTACAATGCTCCATAGACTACTAGACTTGCAAAGAGCAAAAAAATCTATGACGGTTTAACTTTTTGACTATTAATTGATTTGAGCGTGGCTAAAATCGGTAATTGAAATGAAAAGAACCAACAAAGAAACTTGGGATAAATCAGTTTGGTTTCAAATTTCTGTGGTCCGTTCCCAATGCAACTAGCCCAAATCGATTATTCGTCTCATAATATGACAAAATAAAGCATAAATTTTCCATATGAGCATTGAAAATAATCCATCCTTATTTAGCTATCGTTTATAAATTATTCAGGTTTTACAACACAAAACCCACTCCCTCTTGGGCATATTGCGAAAAATCTCATACCTTTTGGAAATAGCACAAAACATTCATTTTTGAAACCTTCAATGTGAAGTACCCTTGCCGTCCATTTTTTTAATAAAAAATCTGTGAAATGGTGAATATACCTTCCTATTCCAATAAATAAATAAATAAATAAATAAATAATAATAATAATAATAATAATAATGAGCTAATTACAACCATAATCCCAATTTTTTCAAAAAATTACAAATGTAACCCAAATAAATAAGTAAAAATCAAAACGAAAAGAGCAAAATTCACTTATTCTCCTCTTTTCTCTCCCTACACTGCCATTCACCATTTGTAAAGAAGTAAAATGGTAGAAACAATTATCTTATATTTTTCATTGATCGGTATGCTTTATATAGCTGTACATGGACATGGTTTACATGGAAATAAAATCATCTATACAAAATTCTAGGAGATGACTAAAATTATGGGAGCTAAAGTTTAGCTAAACTTGTGGGATTTCTATATGCTGTAGTACTGAAATCATGGGAGCTAAAGTTGTGGGATTTCTATATGCTGTAATACTGAAATCATGAGAGCTAAACTTGTGGGATTTCTATGTGCTGTAATACGCCCCCTCAAGTTAGTGCATGAAGATCCGTAATGCCTAACTTGTGAGAGAAGTGATGAAAGAGATCAAATCCTAATGCTTTCGTGAAGATGTCGGCAATTTGCTCAGCAGATGGAAGATGAGCAGTGGTGAAGAGACCAGACGGATTTTGTTACGAACAATGTGGCAGTCTATCTCAATATGCTTTGTTCGTTCATGGAAAATTGGATTCTGAGCAATGTGAAGGGCGTATTGATTGTCACAGTAGAGGGTCATTGGGTCATTGTGCGAGATGCCAATGTCATGGAGAAGCTATTTCAACCAAATTAGTTCACATGTTGTGACAGCCATAGCACGATATTCAACTTCTATAGAGGAGCAGGCCACTGTAGTTTGTTTCTTAGTGCGCCAAGAAATGGGACTGGAACCAAGTGTGATGAAGAAGCCAGTGGTAGAACGTCGAGTGGTAGGACAACTGGCCCAATCAGAATCTGTGTAAGCACGAACATGAAGATTATTAGAGGAAGAGAAAAAATGCCTTGTCCAGGAGTCCCTTTAATGTAGTGGAGGACACGTGTTGAAGCTGTCATGTGAGGGGTCCGAGGCGCATGCATGAATTGGCTAAGAATGTTTATTGTAAAGACGATATCAGGTCTGGTGATGGTGAGGTAAATGAGGCGTCCCACTAACCGTCGGTAAGAAGCGGGATCAAGAAGAAGGTTACCATCTGTGTCATTGAGTTTCAAATTTTGTTCCATAGGAAAAGGTGTAGGATGAGAACCAAGCTGGCCACTGTCGGCGAGGATGTTCAGGGCATATTTTCGTTGATTTAGAAAAATGCCAGAGGGAGATCGTGCAACTTCAAGGCCAAGAATGAGAGGGCCGAGATCCTTGGTTTTGAAGTTGCTGGAAAGAACGCTCCTGAAGAAGAGAACCTAAGAAAGATCATTACCAACAACCAAGATATCATCAACGTAAACAAGGATAATAGTGAGACTGGTTGCAGTGATCAAGGTAAATAGGGAGTGGTCTGCTTGTGATTGAACGAAACCTGCATTAAGAAGAACAGATGTTAGTTTAAAAAACCAGTTTCGGGAAGCTTGTTTGAGGCCATAGAGTGACTTTCGAAGGCGACAGACTCGTGTCTCCCCTTTAACACAGTAGCAAGGGAGTGGTGGGATCATGTAAATTTTCTCGTCAAATGTACCGTGCAGGAAGGCATTATGGACATCCATTTGGTGGATGACCCAATTTTTGGTGGCGGCAACAGCAAGGACACAGCGTACTGTGGTCATTTTGGCAACTGGGGCAAAAGTTTCATGATAGTCAATTCCCTCTAATTGAGTGTAGCCTTTGGCTACAAGTTGGGCCTTGTATCGTTCAATAGTGCCATCTGCTCGGAGTTTGGTTTTGTATACCCACTTACAATCGATGGGTTTCTTGCCAGGAGGGAGGGTTTCTAGTGTCCAAGTGGAATTTTCTTCAAGGGCACGAAGTTCAGAGGCCATAGCTTCACGTCAATGAGAGTGGCCATTTGCTTCTGAGTAACAAGTCGGTTCAACAGAAGCAGTAAGAGCAGTTAAGAATGAATAATGAGCATGAGAAAAATGAGAGTATGACAGATAAGTACATAAGGGGTGGGAAGTACCTGAGGACTGTACAGCAGTTGAGGAGGCAATGGACTCCGCAGGGATAGTAGGACAGACATAATCAAGGAGATATGTTGGACGAGTAGTGTGGCGACGAGGTCGAGAAGGAATAGTGGCAGTGGGTGGCGGTTCTTGGGGTATGGTCGAGGAAGGGAGAGAAGATATGGGTTTGGTGATAGGTAAGGGAATGATGGTGGAGTCATTAAGAGGAGGGGGTGTGATGTGATGGAAGGGAAATTGATCTTCGAGGAAGGTGACATCGCGTGAGTAAAAAATGGTGTTGGTGTCAAGGTTGTATAGCTTGTAAGCTTTGCGGTTGCTAGGGTAACCAATGAAGACATAACAAGATGATCTGTGTGAGAATTTGTCGCGATGAGCGATGAGGGTTTGAGCGTAGCAAAGGCAACCAAACACACGTAGGTGAGTGTATGATGGGGGGGGTGTTGAGAAGAAGTTGGAAAGGAGTTTGATTTTGTAGGGAGCGGCTTGGGGTTCTATTGATTAGATAAGCAGCAGTAAGAACACAATCTCCCCAAAATTTGAATGGTAGGTTTGCCTGAAAGCGATGCTATGAGCAACATTCAGGAAGTGCCTATGTTTACGCTCTGCAACGCCATTTTGTTGCGGAATTTCAACACAAGTACGCTCATGGATGATGTCGTGAGTGTGAAAATAGGTTTGGAGGTTATGTGAAAGGAACTCTTGTCCATTGTCGGTGCGAATTATTTTAACCGATGAGTTGAATTGATTTTTATTAAGAGCGAAGAAATGCATTAAGTGACTAAAGGTTTCTGATTTAAAACGCATTAAATAAATCTATATAGTGCATGAAAAATCATCAACAATAGTTAAGAAATAATGTGCGCCACAAATGGAGGCGGTAGAATAGCCACCCCAAATATCACAATAAAGACGATTAAAAGGTTTCGAACTTTTATTAGCATGAATTTGAAAAGGTAAACAAGTGTGCTTTGAACGCTCACAAACATCACAATGAGATAGAGTACATGGATTATCAAAAATTGTGGGAATAGTAAAGCTAGAAGGATGACCTAGGCGTTGATGCTACAGTGTCTTATTGGCATCACAGTGTCTTATTATCAAGATGATGAACAGAGAATGCGACGGTCTTATGGGAGTGAAAGAGATAGAGCCCATTACATGCCTCACCCACTCCAATCAGCCTCTTCGATGGAGGGTCCTGAAAATAAACATTTATCAGATGAGAAAAAAACAACACAAGATAGATTTTCAATCAGTTGAGGGATAGAGAGAAGATTATAATAAAAGGAGGGGACATAAAGGACATTTTGAAGAATTAAATGGTCAGATAAAGGCACAGAACCAATTCCTTTAATAGGAATAGTTTCTCCCGTGGGTAGCCTCACTGTACGAGCAATGGGAGACAAATTTAGATTAGAGAAGGAGGATCAACAATGGCTCATGTGATCACTAGCGCCACTGTCAATGATCCAGTCCGTCTATGGGTTGAAGGAGCAAGGCATTGTGGAGGAGTTACACACAAAAGTAGCGGCCGAAGAAGAAGGATGAAGGAGCGTCATCAGCTGCTGATAGTTTTCCTGTGATAGACCCGGGATGGGGCTTGAGGTAGAGCTGACAATACTAGCAGTAGCAACAGATGGTTTTCCAAGAAGTGATGGTTGATTGCTGTGGGGTTCACAGCCAGGAGGGTAGCCAATGAGGAGCCAACATCGATTGCATGAGTGTCCAATTTTTCCACATTCAGTACATTTGGGAGGGGCTCGATAGTTGTGGGTGGTCTTGGCGGCAAGGGCTAGGTTTTCTGAGAGTGACTGAGGGACATGAAGGAGTCGTTGTTTCTCCTCTTGGAAAAGAATAGAGAAAACTTTGTTGAGGGGTGGAAGAGGATCCGTGGCTAGTATCTGTGTTCGAAGATCCGCAAATGAGTCGTTGAGACCCAGTAGAAACTGGAACACATGCTCATCCT